TTTGTCCATGTTGAAAGGTAACATTAACAGCCCACATATTTTTTCTTGTTCATGAATGTCTGCTGTCATTCTCATAGTTCGGTAATCTGACGACTATCGGCGACGATTGGAAAGTTCTTGTCTTTAATACCGAGCTATTTTCATTAGTCTAAATGTAATACTTTCATTATTACCCTCAGGCGACTAGCCTGCTTTGTCGTAATAGTGGAGGAGTCTGGTCAGTATGCTAGTGCTTTTTGAAGATTAGTCGCACGGTAGAGTATGTATAGCCCGAAATTCATTTCGTACAAGGGCTTGTGCGGAAGATACTCGTAAACCGAACTCCCCATAAGACAAGTATTTTAATCTAGTCTTATTCGTTTCAATATTGTGCTATTTTCCTCCTAAAGTTTTGCAGTAACATTTTTTTCTTATGGTCACCTCTGTTCTTACTAATGATGTCACACCCTAAGCTAAACTCATTTCAAGTATATACTATATGCCGCATTAGCAGTAGTGTGTTTCCCCTATTTAAAAGGTCAATCGTTCTTTGATAGCCCAGAATGGAGATGATAGGCTACTTTTGCCTCATCAAAACTATCCCCCTGAAATAGAGCCGATTATTTTTTTGAGCTTAGTTTGGATTAAAGTTGCTAACTTACGATATATAGTTTTGATGATGTTTATCCTATGGCAGATTAAAGCTCAACTCTTTTCACCGGTATCAAAATATGATGCTTCGAGGGTTGTGTCCAAGCCAACTTGACATAGTCCTCTCCTGAGACAAATACATGTTCACAATAACTAAAATTTAGCCCGACAATCAGCCCGATTATAAGTCACTCTGTGTGAGTAAATGGGTCTAGATTATACTCTTAACCTAATAATGACCTGTAGATGAGGTATTGTCTTTGTATTCATTTTCAGTATGCGCATCTTTAGTCTAGATTTATTGATACCAGACACTAGTGGCTTTGGAAAAAGTCTAGCTTCTTTTTCAACGTTTATTCAAGAAGGCTCTACTGATTTCAGTGGAAGGATGGAGTCATTTAGAATATAAGTGGTATTGTAGGCATCAGGCTGATTAGAGCCGATTTCTTATTCTAATACAAACACAGATTTTGTATGCCTCATCAACACTGAGACACTAATGTTAAATATTAAATTGGAAGGAAGCCAATTCAATTATATTTGATTCAAATTGGATTCGGATATGTTGTCTAAAGATGCCGAGTAGCCATGCAATATATTGTGAAAAGCAGATGCCATAACAGCAAGTGCATCAATTTCGGCCACGCCCTTGGGGCGAAATGGGCTTTTGATGAGTTGATTTTAGTGGGAACAGGATAAAGGTTGTCTGATGAGAACGGAGAGATAAGAAGGGAAAATGGTAGCTTGGGGAATCGTGTGTTCCTAGAAGTATCCTGACAGTTGGTGAGACCTTGTTTTCCCTCGAGTACGGAGGATTGCTCTTATCGGAAATTGTCCATGTCTGCCACACAGCATTTTTGGGTGGCTCGCGGATCTGAGATAGGCGCATGGGTTGGTGAGGAGGCGTATCGTCAAGTTCTGCGACCAGAGTTGAGGCAGACTTTCACTTGTCAACTGAACTGCCCGGAAGTGTATCTCCACTCGAGGAATTGAACTTATCTCTTTGGGGCGGAGTTGGGAAAAGATGTAGAGGCGACGAGAAGGAGTGTTGTCAATGAGACATACAGAATAAGGAAAAACTTTGTAGGCCTCGTCTGATGGTTTTACGAGGACGTAGATAGGGCAGGGCGCGACCCAGATCAGCAGTATCAACTTGAGATAGATACAGATTAGGTGGGAGACGGGTTAGAGGGAGAGGAAAGTCTTGTGATTCAGCTTCTTTACGAGGGACCGACTCTGGCGTGGTAAATCGAGTCCGAGGCGGCGAAGGAATAAGGTTGGTTGAGGGAAGATCGAGCACGGAAGAGAAAAGGAGGGGGAAAAGACGAAGAATAAAAAGGGGAGGATAAAAGGAGGAGGATAAGGATGATGATGAGGAGGAGAGTATTAGGAGGAGGTGGGAGGGGTGGGGCAGGAGAAAAAGAATAAAAACATGAGGAGGATGAGGAGGTGGAGGGTGAGAAGAAGGATGAGGAAGTGGAGGATTAAAAAAAAATTAAAGGAGGGAGATAAACTAAGAGGCGAAGGTGAAGGAGAGGAATTCTAGGAGCAGGAGGTGGCGGAGGTGAAAGAGGAGGAGGAGCGTTTGGCAAATGTGCACCTCGAGATCTCTGAGAGTCTTTGGTTTGCAGGTTGAGCGATCTAGGGCAAATAAGTGAAGATTTGAGCTTTCAGCTCGGGGAACGCTTCTCATAAGTCAGTATGGAGTCAGGAAGAGACCTTCTAACCAACCAGTAGATGCATATTTTCAAGCGACTCACGCGGAAATAGATGTATTGATGCTCTACATCCAATATAAGTTGAACGAATCTTCGGCCGACTTCTAGGCAGCTAAGCAGCACAGCTCTTTTGTTGCTTCCATAAATTGTATGAGATGATCTTAGTTGTACCCCTTTTTTCTCTCATTCCTGATTTCAATTGCTCTTTTGATCTCGAAGGCTCTGAAGGTTTGCAAAATTGCCCGTCAAAAGTGAAGACGGAAGCACTGCGGAGCCTAGACGCCGATGGTAACCATCATATGGACTTCTATTTCTCCCAAACCCGTAGTCATAGCGACCGACCTGGCAATTGAAGAGGATGTCACTCTCATGGGACGTTTGAATTGTCTTTGAGTGTCGTCATGGCGACATAATAGGATGCTTTCAGCATGGCGTCAATGGACCCGGCAACCAGTCTCGTCTTGAGGCCAGGCGTCTGCTCTATATCTTTTCCCGTGTTGTCGTGGTAGACCGACTGTCCTCCTCCTGACATAGTGACTTGTTGTAAGGCCGGAGGTAGGGGGGCGGGCATCGGAAAGCGGTTCTCTGAGGGTTTGACTGTGCGAGGTGGCAGCGAATTTTCCCATTCTTACACTGGCACCGAATGTTCGCGTCGTCCGTAGGCAGAGACGAGAGGTCGCCACGGCGACCCGAATATACCGGCTGTGTATACTCCTCTGCTGAACGGCATACATGACGAGCCAACAAGGCATTGTGAGGCCTCGGAGACGGAGACATGTTGCACGGAAGAGGTGGCCTCTTAGAAGGGCCAAGAGCAGCGGGACCCTCTGGCGCTTGAACGGGCGCGGAGTCTAGTACCATCGGACGGACTGGACGCAACGTCGATGTCAAGGTCGAAGCTGTGGGCAGCGAGAGCAGTAGAAAAGTTGGCAGCAGCTGAACGACCAGAAGAGTCGGCAGGCTGGTGACGAGAGCTGCCGTGAAGCCGGAGACGAGTGGTCGGAGAGCGGCTTCAGAAAGAAACGACAGCCACGACGGAGGCCACCGAACAAATCGGGCCTTCGGAGCGGCCGTGTTGCAGTTGGGCTTGTTGCAGAAGCAAATTTTCCCGGCACCGGAACGAGACTCGCGGATGCAGACTACGTTGATTTGCATGTTGAAGTTGATGCTGCGTGAGCAGGTGCGGATGTAGGTGATCGGACCTGTCAGTGACAGAATGAGAGTGGTAGTCAAAAGTCAGTTAGCATCCGCATCAATCTGACATCTACTTATTTTGTCTCTCCAAAAAAAACATGTCTAAAATGTTGCTCATCCTACTTATACCTGCTTTATCTTTATTCCCCCACGTACAATTACACAACACTTCAACTACAGTAACTTTTAATTTTATAATTATAATCAAATTAGAGCTATATTTCCCCTAGATCGCATAAGGTGACAAGGCAATGATAGTTGAATCTTCCAATAATAAGTTAAGTAGGCCTTATGATATCATCAAATTTCACATAGCTTTTCCTCCCAGAAGGTATTTTCCTTCCAGTTGTATTGGACTGCAGTATAGACCTCGCCTGGGTCCAATCAACGCTCCAAAATGGAATCTAACCCGAGTAAAACAGCATATAATTTTTACATGTTACCATTAAGCAACGTCGCCACATGCGAAAAGCGATTGGAGAATAAACATGAATTTCAAGGCTAACCAGGTCACTATTTCTTCCGATTGTGTAGTGGGATGTTAAGTAAACAAGCATGCATTTTTCATTACAATCTAATATAATACTTATATTCAGATTGAGTAGATTTCGAAACATGTTCAATCTGAACAAAAGGAAATCCATTAAATTAACAGCAGTAAATGTTTTAGTCATTTTAATTACTACAGATAGTTAACACTAACATTTAAGGTCTGATTAGTTTCGTCCATTAAAGCCCAGTAACGGAGAATTTATGTGAAGAAGAGTTGGGTTTCGATAGCTCTCGTCTTTCATAAGTGTTAAGCTTACCTCCATTTCGAGTGAAAGTATTTGGCGAAGAGATCCCGAGGTAGATCAAACCAAAAGATGATGGCGGATTCCTCTTGACCAGTTGTCTATTGGCTTTACTGGAATATTCTTGTTTATGCTGTCTCAAAGTCAATCTTCCTCAATTCCGGTGAAAACGCGTGAAGCATTCGTCCGTCTAATGATTGACATCACCCTTACAATCAGGTTCAAGCTAAAGAATCTATAACATTCACCAAATCATCCCGAAAATGCTGTATATATACTCTAAAGATGAGCTCTTTGATGAGGTATAAAGTTATTTGGTTAGTTCAAGTCATATGTTAATCTCCAAGCCTGCGAGTGTATCAGTTTGTGTATGTGTGCCCATCTATGTTCGCACATGTACGAAACCGGCAGTGATGGCTTAGAGGAATTAGAACAGCAAAAGTAACGTTTTTTCTTGGCCATCAAGTTCTGATGACCCCCATCACCCCATCGCTCTCTCCTCATCATTCTTACGAAGCTCGAGCTATATTTGTACCTATCCATAAGTGAAGCACTGCCATACAACACTAACTGCATTCACCTCTAGAACCCAAACCATATGGATTCATGAAGTACTAAAATATCCTCTGTAAGAACCAGCATTTTCTGGATTTTAAGAGGCAAATACTACTAATGTCCCCTGAAAGTCCTAACTTTGATATATACAAGAATTTAACACACAAGAAATTAACGCAGACGGTTTACGCATGGAAAATAAAAGTGCCACCGTTTGGGTATTGGTTCTTTCTTCCGAACTTAATTGCGTTTAATCTCTAAAAATAATTAATGTTTCGGGATTTTCCACCTATTTCTACTCTAAACAGATCAGACAAGAGGGTAGCTGCAGTAATTAATCATGGGAGCCTATTTTTCTGATTTGTTAAAGAGGCGACAGCGAATTAGCGGCTTTATTTTAATGTCATAAAATGAATGGAAATATAAGAGGTTGCTTAGCCAACCTGATAATTGCCATTTGATTACAAATAAAAAGCGCTAACTGTGAGATATTTTTGTACTGGGGTTAGTTAAGAGTAATTTGGGACATCAAAATGTAGATGGGATAACTGGTTGGCTTAAAAGACATATTGCCTTGGCTAAAACTACTTTCCAATTCTCTTAACTTTCAGACGAGGTATTTGAGCCAGACTGTCCTACTAAAAAATCTCCAATAAATACTATCCCATGAGACTTCCATTCATCGGGGCTAAGTAGGCTGTATGTTGTAAATAATCGAAAATGAAGCTCACTTCATAATTTCTTGTCACGTCGTGTGCCCACATAATGTAAATAAGGCATTCCCTTTCTAATGCAATCAGGCTGGATGTGGTATGGAAGTAAGAGCTTCTGAGTCGTCACTAGGCGACAGCTTGAAAGTGCCTCTGTGGTAGAGTGGACATTAGAAAGTTAGTAAGATATCAGTCGCATGAGAAAAAACAAAACTGGACTAAATCTAACCCAGAACAAGAAAAAACAGAAAGATGTCTAACGAGACGATTCAATTTTAACATAGCGTATCAGAGCTTTTCGTTTAAAAACGAAATTAACAGTCTCGTAGAATGCTCCGTGAGAAGGGTAATGACAAATGACTGATAAAATGGAGTGGAGGGACTTATTTAAAGAGTTGATAGGTTTCCTCGACTCTCCTGGTTGTTTTTGTCTAGACATAATTAATTTCGATTAAAGGTGTGGGATTAAATGCTTCTTAGGCTGCCGTTCAGAGAACAAAAAAGCGAGGAGGTCTCTGTGACTGCCTCACTATGCTTGAATCACAGCCAGTTGTGCGTGGGATCGACGGAAGAACCTGTTCCCATGTGTGTGTGTGTGTGTGTGTGTGTTTGTATGGAGGGGGGTGGAGGGGTTGTGTCATTTGGCCGTGTGGAAAAATGGAGGTCGAAAGTGGATGTTCGGTACAAATTTGTTCCGTCGTGTAAAGTGTAAAGTGTTCACCTGTCAAGCGATTAGTCTATCCAGGTCTTGAAAGGATAGGCTACTTTGGCCCAGACACAGTTGCCAAGACACCACAAGTCAGGGAGACATTCATTTGTGTCT